GTTGTCTTCTCTCACGTGCAGATGCTACGTGTTACGTATGCAGGTTATAGCTAACGGAGGGAAGGTAATAACAGCATGCTCATCAGACGTTTCCTAAAAATAAACATTGTTCACGGGTCCCGCACCTCGAGTCTGAGTCAAGTCTGAAGTATTTTGAGGACGAGTCTCAAGTCACTGTTTGTGCGACTTAAGTGCAACTCGAATCCGAGTCTCAAACTCGAGTCCCTATCTCTGCTCTCATGGTGCGTGATTGTAGATGGAATATGGGCTAGTTGTCTCTGGCTGAATTCCAAGTTTTGTGTAGCTGCTTGCTGGAATTTGTTGTGGACAGGTAGAGTTTATTGTGGATTGAAAATAAAATGTCGCTGACCTCAGGACAGCATCATTTGTCGGGGGAGCTGTGATTGGAGGATTGCCCGCACCTCTTGCTGGTTGGTGTGGAGACAAAGTTGTCCTTGCCTCTGATTGAAACATTCATCAGTATAGTACCCAAGGTCTTCCAGATCGAACGGTTGTGCTATTCCAAGCTGATAGGGTGTACAAAAGGGGTTTATTTTGTGGGGGGAAAAAATATTAGTTGTGTTTGCAATCTAGCAGCTGGGGGCTGCCATCTTGAATCTCGCACCAGTCTCATGACAAAGGATATTTGTATATACACACGATGCGAGTATGGCAGGGATATGCATTTATGTGGCACAGTGCAAAGAGTGTACTGGTTTTCATACTGTGGACCCTGAGGCCTCCAGGGACAATGGTTGCTCATCCCTGATCTAGTGTTGAAATGCCAGGCAGGACAGGAAGTCTGAGGAATGCACTGTCGTGCTGGGTATCCACAGTAATCTATCACACACACACACACACACACACACACACACACACACACACACACACATTTTCAGCTGCATTAATGCAGGTTTCCTCCTGCTCTCCATAGACTGATCAATCACAGTTGGCCTCTCTTCTGAATATGTGGCTCATAGGCTGCTGGGTTTGCCATTTACACTGAATCTTTTTAAAGATATCTTTACAAAGCAGAAAATGTGATGAATGGCAACATTACAATACACCTGTGTGTCTTGCTTTGAGGCCTGTTGTAGTGGAGGAAATATCAGTGTGCTGTAGGGAGGCTCTCTGTTCTGCAGTAAAACAGTATATATATATATACCACTTTACTGTTCTGATTGAACTCCAAATGAATGTTAATGTTGCCAGGGTTTTTTTCTGGCTCAAAATAAGGCAGAGGTGGTACCATGGCCTTAAGGAAATACTTTTTACAAGTAACGTATTTTAGAAGTTCTAATAATTGTGACTGAAGAAAATGACAATTATCATAACATAAGCTATAAGGTTTTCATTTACAGTTTGCAGGTGCCCTCTTGTAGTGTAACTCAACATAAATATAACATAAAAGCTTTTGCTTTTGTTTACTTATTGCACAACCAGCAAAATGTGGCCCTGTAACAGGATAGTTGAACACCGCATTAAATCCATTAAAGCCTAGGGCTGGATATTTTTCAAAGATTTTTGATATCGATACGATACAAAAATAGATTTTTCCAATAAATAGCCTAGTTACAAAAATGTTTGTGTATGCTATCAGTTATAGATCTTAGAAATAAATAAAATGGGATTAGAATTAGAATTGGCAGGTCAGATCTTTTAAAAAGCAGTAACTGGAATCAGCCAGGAAAAATGTAATCTGTGCATCTCTTACTACAGCGATAATCCTGTGTGTGAACCGATATTAGGCTAATGCCATAGATCTACAATTGTAGAGGCAGATCAGTTGGCCTGCTGCCATTAAATATCTAACATATATATATATAAACAACTATTGCTTTGTGTTGTTGGCCAGAAAATAGCGAGTAAGACTTCTCTCTGTGTACACGTATCTATACAAGTAAAATTGTGGCTGTATTGTTTGTGTCCCCCTCAAATATTGCTCTTGAGAAATTTTATGTTTATTGTCCCCCCCTACTGTGAGATGAAATTTATGCCCATGCTGAGATCTATCAGTAATTAGAAAGCAGCCATGCCCCTTGCCAGTGCAAGTTAATATCAGCTGGTTCAGTCTCAATTGATGGCTTATAAAAAGGTGTGTCACACAAGAAACTATTTATGATGGGTAAAAGAACTCTCTCAAGACCTTTGCAACCTTATTGTTGCAAAATGTTTTGATGGCGTTGGTTGGAAGGATTTCTAAACTTAAGAAAATTCCACTAAGCACTGTTGGGGCCATAATCCGGAAGCAGATAGAACATCATTTCACCATAAGCTGGCCACGACCAGGAGCTCCTTGAAAGATTTCTGACAGAGGAGTGAAAATAATTATCAGAAGAGTTGTGCAAGAGCCAATGACCACTTGTGGAGAGCTTCAGAAAGACCTGGAATTGGCTGGTACAATTGTTTCCAAGAAAATAATAAGTAATACACCCAACACCATATGGCAGAGGTAGGCAAATCAGTCTGGCATCGGGGCAAAACTTTTTCAAGCCATTATATGACGGGCCAGAACAAAGTCAAATTATTTAAAATTCAGGGTGCGAACTACGTAGGAGCCAGGAGGAGCGTAACTTAATAAGACATCATCTCCTCTAAAAGCATGATTTGTGATATGTTGGGGGGTCTCTAAAATATTGACAGCATGCTTTATTGACATTAATCTTATCATGGATCACGCGGGGCGTCAGACTTCATCCCACCAGAGGAACAATCACTGACAGACTGCAGCGGGCCAGTCGCTCCGCGATCTCCTGGCCCTGGTCCGCCCCACTCCCTCTCCGGTGCCGACAGGCTGTGAACGGTTCGTGATCGTTGGCTGAGTGAATATTAGGCTACATGATCCATGCACTACTGTAACTGGGGTTCTCCGCAGCGCCACGCAACTTTCTACACTCTTCCCAGAGGTGTAAGTCAGAGACTCTTGAATGTCCTTCAGAACTCTTCAAAGTAAAAGCTTTCAATAAACTCAACATAAAGCATTGCTGCAATAAACGTTCTCACGCTTTTATTTTGCAGCCTCAATCACTTAGGAGGAATTGATTGTGTGAGTAACTGTATCTGTCATGACTGATCTATTTCAGCACCAGCCGCAATCAATTTATTTATTTTTTATTTTTCTGCTATCAAAGCAATCTGGCCATGGACCAGATGTTATTGCTGGAGGGCTGGTTCTGGCCTGCGGGCCGCCTATATGAACGATCAACACTGTTCCTGTAAAGCTGGGTAGGCCTCTATTCATTATTACAATCATTAAAAAGCAGAACAGTAGGGCTTTATTACGTTCCATTGAGTAGCTAGCATTAGCTAACTAACATTACATTAGGAACGATCCACAGCCGACATTTTTCTGGATTTATTTTAGGTTTTGGAAAGAGAATAAATCGTACTTCTCTAAAGATCAACTCAAGATCAGAGTTCATAGAAGAGGCCCATGGAACCTTCAAGATTCAAGAAGTTCAAATTTATTTATATAGCAAATTTAAAAACAACCCTACTTGACCAAAGTGCTTTCCAAATTCAGGATACACAACAAATATACATGACAAGACAGCTGAAGACGGTTTGTGTGGAAGAATGGTCCAAAAAGGCAAAATGGCTCGCTAGCGCCACCTATACAATTTGAAAAGATTGTCCCCTTGTCCACGTTCAACCTACATGAACGAAATTTTTTGGGGATATGTATCATATCAAGACACACAAAAATGCCTCAAAGACCCATACCCCAAACACAACAGGAAGTCCGCCATTTTGAATTGAATGTGCAGTTTTAACCTATTTTTCACCATTTACAGGGTGCGTACTTTAACAAACTCCTCCCAGAGAATTAATCCGATCAACTTCAAATTTTCACTGTGCACTCTAAACCCATTGACGATTAAAAGTTGTACAAACGGTGAGTTTTTGTCCACATGCGTGACCTTGGCGTGGCATCGAAAACAACGATTTGCCACAAAACAGAAAGTTATATAACTTCAGTGTACATGCTCACATCTGTACCAAATTTGACATGTATGATAACAGTCTCGCCCTGAACACATTCACATGCCAACATTCGCTCAAAAGCATAGCGCCACCTGCTGGCAACAGGAAATTACACATTTTACGTTGTGTTGAACTACTCCTAGCAGGTTGGCCAGAGCAACTTCAAAACTGTCCCAGAAAACCCTTAACACATTGATGAAGCCATGTTGTAAAATTTGTGAGTTTTCAGTTAACGACGTGCCGGTGGCGGTGGTGTGGCGGCAAACTTCTACTCTTCTCCATGACACAGGAAGTTGTTGTAACTTTACTGCACATGCTCAGATCTGTACGAAATTTTACACGTTTAATAAAAGTCCCGCCCTGAGCACATGTACATGCCAACATTCACCCATAGTCATAGCGCCACCTGCTGGCAACAGGAAGTGACTACTTCTGTGCTGTGATCAACCACTTCTTGCAGGTTACTTCAGAACTATTTTAGAAAACTCTTTATGCATTGATGATGTCATGTTATAAATCTTTAAATCCATGCTTCGCCATGAAAGAGGAAGTCATCATAACTTCACTGTACATGCTCAGATCTGCACCAAACTTTACATGCTTGATAACTGTTCCGCCCCAAACACACCTACATGACAAAATTCAGTAATAGTCGTAGTGGCACCTAATTGCAACAGGAAGTAAGCTTTGTCTGACAATCATCATGCGATTTAAATAAATTTGCACAATGTGTTCCACACTTAACATACTGAGACATATAGTTACCCACATAGGGGACACAGGAAGTGACATTTAAGTCCTCTGTGCAACGTTGGAAGCGTGTGACTATTCAGAGCCGCACCCAAAGAGCTGCAGAATATATGGTGCGACCACCTCATTCCTCGACGCGTGTCACAGTGTGAATTGTAGATTGTTTCACATTTGTTTTAGAATTTTGACACTACTGTTTCGTTGTTTAACAAATGAAAATTACTCATAATTTTCAATACACCTTTCTGTGTGTCTTTTTGCTGCAGATGTCGCTCCTATGAGGACTGTTGTGGGACTCGCTGCTGTGTGAGAGCCCTGTCCATCCAGAGACTATGGTACTTCTGGTGAGTTACAGTTTGGGCTGTGTGTAATGTTCGCTGGAAAATGACAGACCAAAGACGAGCCCACTTTGAAAATCATCCATGTGTCTTCACGAAATATTTGGATTTAGAAGCTTGGTGACATATTTGCTACTCATATACATAAATAAAATCTATTGTACCTTGTCAGCAAACTATAGTAATCAGCGGGGAAAGGCTAGTGCTATTCTCAACCCATCCCTGAGCATGGATGTATAAAGAGAACTGGATACAGCGTCAAAGGTGTTTTCATATGAAAGTTGCTCAGTGGTAGACAGCCAAGATGTAGTTAGGCAAACTCACAAAATTAATATCAACTAGAGAGTACACACTCTCCGCCAGGTGAAACAATAAACAGGACGATTATGATTTGGAAGATTTTGTTGTAACACTCCTTACAAAGTAAAACCCCTCCCTACCTTCCTCTCCTCTCCCAAACAGTTGATTCTCACTCAGTTGTTAATGACATAAAAAGATGGCAGTGAACATAACAAACAAACAATGTTTCCCTGTATTGTGCCTACGTATGGAATTAATTTGTGAGGCTCCGGTTCAAGATTAGACCAAACCTTTCAGTTTTTGCGCCATGTCAGACCAAAATGTGGCCTGCAACAGGCTTGGTAAGCCTTAGTTTTTTACCTCGACGATTGCAGGAATTGCCCTTTTTAAACTTTGATTTGCTTTTACAGCTTAAGACACTGTTGATTATTAAGTAATAATACAAGTTGCAGCTCTTGTGATTTGATTTCAAATCATGCTTGCAATTAAATTCTCAGCTCTACAATTATTACTTATTATTGTGACTACACATTCAATCTTGTATGGAGGAAAAGCATTTCTACACTGATCTGTGTGCTGAAGAGGTATACTTCTGCAACATGTATACTTATTTAATTTTGATTACACTTTTTGAGCTAGTCTTTTGCATGTGCCAACATTGTGTTAAGATCGCCTTAGAATCTGATTTGCAAAAGATGTTAACTCAAGGTCCACTTACTAACATTTTCCAGAGCAAGGTCTATTCGCTGACAAATACCATGAATTGTGGTTGAAAGTTTTGGAAAAAACGAATGGACCCTCAGTTTTTATGAAACTATCATTTCCAAAGTAAAGAATGAGCTTTGATGCTCATGCTTTGCAAATGTTTGGAAAACGTCAGGAGACACACTCCACCATCACCTTGTGTGGACAGATAATTCACAGTATATTCACTATCAGTGTAGAGTCATGTTTGTCTGGCAATAATACACAAAGTATTGCATTTATAATATGTCATTAAAGGCTTTTAAGTATTATAAACATCAGACATATGTGGCTTGAGCTAGGATAGAGTATTGTCTGTCTGTCTGTTGATGGTTATACAATAGCAGTTCTCATTAGTACCCGCAGAACCAAGCCTGTGGATTTTTACGAGTACGAGTATCATTAAAGTAAAATGTGTCAATATCTGTTTTATAATAAACTATAAATATAGGAACAGTTTTTTAATTGTTCTCTTACTATTGTTATAAAAATCATTGCTGTAAAGCTCAATTCTGAGGCTGTTCTGTTAATAGTTTTCTTATAAATATATCAACTTCTGATCAGCCCATACCAATTTCTGGCTTAAATAACACTTCCGGTTAAGCCCCGCCCATCCCAAGTACAGCTACGGATACAGATGATTTAATTTGTTGAACAGACACAGATAGTGGTATTATCGCGCATCCCTACCTACAGAGCATTTAGATTATAATTAGACCCAAATATTCAATTGAAGCCCAAATCTATTGTCTCCATCCTCCTTCCACACTGGAGTCTCAAATCCTGCCTGACTGGCCTGGGGGTGTTAATGATGTTGGGTTGGTGAAAAAATGGTCTGAGATGTCCTATGTTTTTCACTCAGGGTGCTTCTGATGATGGGAGTATTGTTCTGCTGCGGTGCTGGCTTCTTCATCCGGAGAAGGATGTATCCCTCCCCTCTGAGAGATGAGCCAGCCTTCAACGTCTCCTTCACCAGGCACCCTGTTACCACACCAGGTACAGTAGGATTCAGTAAATAGTGCCAGACTTCACGTGTAGTCTGGGGCGGGTGGACTATTTTAGGCAAAAGCCAAATATTTCTCATCATTCTATATAAGGCACATTGATTAAAAAACACAAGTACTAATGTTAAGTACTTGCATAATTTTTTAGTTTCTAAGAAAGCAGAAACCAAAGGTGTAAAATATTTGAAGCATAGGCTCAAACTGCTCAGTCAGAAAATCCTGATTTAGAGACAGCCCTAGTTACAGGTGTTTTTCACGCGTCTTTCTCATGTCCCTCTGATGGAACAATTTGAATCAATACAGCAGTCTACACCAGACATATACCCCCTCAGTTACAGCCACCTGTTTCTATGCATTTTACATTTGTGCATCAAAAAATGCTATGGAAACAGCCTTAGTGAAAAAGTGAATATGTGTATGAAGCATGTGGATATTAATGACTTTGGCTTCCAGTGAAGAGCCGAAAACACTGGATCTGTGTGGAAATGATGTAGCGAGACATAATGACTTAAAGGCATTAAAAAAATCGTAGCAGTAATCAGAAGTAGTCAGTACATCAAATCACAGAGTGTAGGAGTCCAGAGTTCCTTTAGATGGAAAACAGAGCTCCTGAGATGTCCTTTCAAGAGATAGGGGTATCAGGTTGTCCTGGCATAGTCAGCCCAAGGAAGTTGTGACTTACTAAACTGGCTTATGTTGTCAGAGTCTGCTCCCAACCTTCGTTGTTCATGGCCTGGGAGTTCTTGCAGGCCCGTTGTAAATCAAGAAATTGTCTTTCACTTTCCTTTAGTGATCTACTGGGGACTGCTAAGGTTACGGGACAGGTTTCTGCAGAGTTCAGCAGTCATCACCATCTTGATCACACAACAACTGTAACCGTAATGCACACTAATATTTGGTGTGAGAGACCCGGGTTTGATTCCCACTGTGTCCAAGAGCAAGACACTTAACCCCTAGTTGCTCCAGAGGTGTGCAACCTCTGACATGCAATTGCAATTGTAACCCCGGACTCACACAGGCGGCGTGGCCGCCGTACCTAATCGCTGCCACTGTAGTCAATACTTGTGCTCACACCAGAATCGCTGCAGCACGTCTCCGCTCTGCTGCGCGGAGAATAGGTAGCCGGTCTATTTTTGATGGAAGACGCGTCAAGCCGCACAGAGCAGATCGAACCAGGCAGGAAGTCAGACACAGAATGGCATAGTGAATCCGGTTGATTTTCACAATAAAATACCATGCACAGACACCAGATTGTATATCAACAATAAACACAGTTAAAACAGACACAAAAACCAAGGACAACTTACCAAATCAACTAAATCTTAACAATTCAGCAAATCAGGCAGGCAAAATACTATTATTCTGAAATGCTCCATGTGGGAAATTCAGCCCTGCAGGGAACTGAGGGAAAACGGTTCACAGAGTGCTGTGATCGGTTGTAGAAGCACAAAAAATGAAACACAAAATAAACAAAAAGTCAACAACGTGAGGCAGGCTAAACGCTCAGCTGCTTAAACGCTTCTGAAACGCTTCCACTGTAAGTTGACGCAGGACTGAGGACGGGTCAAAACCGTGGCGCAGCCGTAATGCGGCGCACATGCCGCCTGTGAGTCTAGGGTAAGTCGCTTAGGAGAAAAGCGTGAGCTAAATGAGTAAATGTAATGTAATGTATCTCATGCAGGACGATGCACATGGGCATGTGAGTGATGTGATACACATTACTGCTAATGGAGCCCCACTACTGATCTACAGGTGACAGAAACCCACCAAGATATGTTGCAATATACCCACAAAGGCAGTGAAGAAGGCTGCAATCTAGTAATGGATGTAAACAGTTAGGATTTAAATTATTTTATGAGGAAGGAAATGCAGTAATCACATTTAGACCTCAAGGGTACACACAATAAGTTTTGGTGAGTAGCACTGAATGTAAGAGAACAAGAGAACTCCACAGTCCTGAGACAAGAAGTTAGCTCCACAAGATATTTGAAAATGTTTATACACTGCAGTCAGAGATAATATGATGTGGTTCATTCTTCAGTAGCCCCTTTCTAACATCTGTTTATACAGCAGCCATCAGAATGATCCTGTTAGCTGTAAATGTGCTTCAAGAAAAGAAAAGAGCTTGAATGAATGGAAAATAAGGTGAGACCAAATATAATATGCAACATTATTGCGTTAGGCTGAGGGTAAGTCTGTATGATCTGTTTCAGTCTTATCTGTTCTGATGTTCGATGACAATGATACAATACGGCTGATGATTGTCTACACAGTCTAGCCCGAGCAATACATTTTGAAATAAATAAGATAACAGTACATCGACCAAACAAACAATAAACAAATCATGACCAAAATAGATGCTGAGCAGGTATCTTACAGTTCAAACTATGTAATATATAGACGGAAATTGATATATCTGAAATAAAAGCACTTTTATGTGTACAGATGGCTGTGAAGGTACAAAGAGGAGGATAGAAGACATCGGGGGCATTTAAGGATTTTTCATATAAAAAGTTTTGGGGGGAAGTAGGGCAGCTGATAAAACACTCTCAGCTGAATATTAAATGAATGGAGTTTTATTCTGTGTCAGTCAGCCAAGCAGAAAATTGATTGGAACGTTCCAGTAATTACCATGTAAAACCAAATTCTGCAGGCAGACTAGATACTAGAAAGGTACCCAGAAGAGGAAGTCCAGTTTTTTGTTCTCCAAAGTGAAGTCAGTGTTCCTGTTCAAACATTCAAACATTTGATCCTAGAAGAGATGACTAAGGTGTTGAAACTGTGCCAGTGGTAGCGTAGACAAACAGAGAAAGAAGGGACAAAGTGAGGACATCATGTGAATGACAACCATGTTGAAAGCCTCATTTATTAATTAGATGAATGGTTTTGGTTTAGGTACCGGAATTGATTTAGTAGCTAAAGCTAATGCAGTCAGGCATTTGACATAATGCAAAAGACTGTTGGACATGTTGACATGTAGACTGTCTTCTTTAAGGCTCAGTCACACCCAGCATTTCACAGCAGAACCATTGCATTTCAATAAAGAGTGGTCAAAGATCCAGCTAGAATTAGGACTGAACGATTTGGGGAAAAAATCGAATTGCAATTTCTCGGCACCCTGTGCGCACTCCAGATCGACAATAAGCCATAGACTGTATCAATAAATAAACACAGTTAAAAAGGACAAAAAGCGAAACAATTTAACTACGTACCATACTTAACCATAGTAGAAGCACAAAAAGCAAGTACAACTGAACAAATGAACAAAATCTGAACAAGTCAGCAAAATCAGGCAAGCAAAATGCTCTTATTCTGAAATGCTCCATGTGGATGTAGCCTGCACAGAGCAGAGAAAAACGGTCTCAAAAAGAGCTGTTATCGGTAGTTAAAACACACAAAATGACAAATTAACAGCATGTCAACATCTTAGGGCAGGCTATACACTCACACTGTTCACCTGACGCCATTATCCCACATTTTTCTCTAGTTTCATTTGTTGTTGTAAAATGTACACGCCCTGTGCCCTCTCTGATTGGAGAGTAGGACCGTAACAGGAGAAGCATGGCGCTTGTGATTGGTTAGCAAGTCTGTCACACATGGGTGAAAATGGAATGAATCTGGAACTGCATGACTGCTTCAAACGGGTCAGATAATTAACCTACATTTTAATCACCGTCTTCACAATTAGTTAATCGCGTTCTTTTAAATCGCAATTTCAATTTTAAAACAATTAATCGTTCAGCCCTAGCTGGAATTCTGCCAGAAGCCCGTTGATAACATTGAAAATGGCTGATTTAGGTGAAGAGAGCTAAGGGACATGCGAGCAAATATTAGCTGTGCTTTATGTTTATTTTAGACCGTTCACTATATTTTCAGCCGCTCACAATGAACTTTCTGTAACATTCTGTTACAGAACACAGCTGCTGAAATAATTATCCTAATACTGCCAAAACATACATGTCTAAGTGTAAATAAACCTTTGACCACAGCTGTGAGTAGGTTTCCCCACCCCGCAGAATGAGTGCATAATGATATCTCTAAATGAATTCATACGGTCCTCACTATATGCTGATGCTCTGTTGAGGTATATAAATCAGCTTTCAGAAACACTTGTTGGAGCTTAAGACCCTCAGTGAATACATGTTTCACATGACTATTTGGATAGAAACTGAGCCATGGAATAAGTGCTAAAGTGCTAGTGTGGTTATTGCACATTGCTCTGTGAAATTGAGGTTTTTGTAAAGTGCATGTGCTAAGGTGCTAGTATCTTTATCGCCCATCACCATATTTCACCAAGATAACAAGTAAAGTGATCAGATATTTAATGCACATTGTTCTGTTTCACATTATCCAGCAGCTTAATGGAGGCTGGCACAAATGATCATTTTAGGTGATTGGATTTGCATTTCGGAATTTTCTTCCTTTCTGCCTGGTCACACAGGCTCTGTATTGACTCATATTCTCGCCTCCCTATACTTGTGTTTTGTGCATGTTGGCAAGCTTGTTTTTCAGCACAACTGTTAAGTTGCTGAACCATGCAGTAATTCCATATCTGATGATGCTCTCTAAGACTGCAGGGTAGAAAATCATTATGATCTGACTCTGTGACACTGTACAAACTTAAACGCCTTGAACACTGTACAAACTTAAACAAACGAGCGGTTTTCAAGCGGTTCAGAGCAGAGCTTTCTGTGGGAGATGGGAACTCCCTTTGGGCTGGACTTTGGGCTTTTTCACTTTGCAAACCTGTTACATGCACAAAAAAGAAATATAACTCAATAAAGGAGAGGGGGAAAGCCAAAAAGCATAATACCACCTCTTTAATGACCACTGGCTCATGGTCAATAACTCGCCTCAGGTCGAAGACCATCTCCTGTTGTTTTTGGATGTTTGAAATGAGATGGTTGGTGTCACACCACTCGTCTTGGTACACATATCCCTGTGCAAAAGGCTTAGGATGGCTGTATTATCAGCAAATTTCATTATATAATTATTAGGATGTATATTCCTGCAGTCATTGGTGTACAATGTGAAAACGTATGGGTGATACAACTTAATAGCATCCTATGACTTGAACTTGCTGTGTCCTGTCAGTTAAAAAATGATAAAACCATCAAGGTAGTATTAATGCTTATATCTTTAAGCTTCTCTAAAAGCATGTGGGTTTGCACTGTGTTAAGAGATGAACTAACAAATAAGATTCTAGCGTAAGCTTCTGTGTTTACAAGATGTAAAGGACTGCGTCATGAGCAAGTTCTTGCATATAAGCAAACTGGTACACATCTAACATTGATTCAACGTGCTTCATGAGTATCATTAAAATCGAGGTTAGAGCTATGGGACGAAAGTCATTACAGGGTTTTTTAGGCAATGGAGTTACAATTGATATCTTCCACAGAGCAGGGACAGTGTGAGTGTTCAATGACATTATTAATTGTACTGCACAGCTTTTGAGCAGAAAAGCTTGCCTGTGTGTCCTTTACTGAAGAGAGTGCAACCTGCTACCTGGAGTGAGTCCACTTCCAAGTAGCAGGTGGCTTCAGGGACTGCAGAACACCGTCACATTCCTGAGAAATGTTTTGGGAGTTGAATCTCAGGTAACAGTCATTCAGCTCGCTTGATTTTTGTATTGCAAAAATGTAAACTTGATTGTTACAGCGCCACCTTGAGGTCAAGGAGTGTCATTTTAGGTGCCTGAGTAGTGGGTGGAATTTGCAACCCACTTCCCAGTTTTGGTGAGTTTTGTTCTTGTGGTTTTTGTTGCACAAACACTTAGTAAGAAAGAAGAAGATAGTAGGGCTCCAGCAGCGAGCTTTGCTGGTTACAAAGTGCTTTACATGGTTGAACCAGGATTAAAACATTTCAGGACTGCAGCAAATAAAATCAAGCAATTAAAATGGTACAGAGATCAAATTAAATAAAATTAAACTAAATAATGTAAGCAATGTTGGCCTTATTTTGAAGAACTTACCCCCAAAACGTGCTAAATCAGGTGTTTTTGGAACATGCTGTGTGCTACTGAGTGAAACAATGAACCATGAGGTGTATCAAAAAGACGACAGACCACACAGTCTATAAGCAAGTGGACGGATTCTAAATGATAATTGTTTCTCTTCTTTCCAGTTTCCCAGCAGCCAGGGAGTATGCAGGGCTTTGGGGTCAACGGGATGACGGGTGGCGACCCAGGGGTTACCATGACACACCCGGTGTACCCTGCACAGCCTGGCTCTGCCCTTATGATGGGCTCTTATCCCCCTCCTCCATCCTATTGCAACCACCCACCTCCGCCCTATGAACAGATATTTCAAAATGGCGACAAGAAGTAACGTCCACAAAGAACTAAGGGGCTGGAAAGAGGCAGTTAGAGGCTGGATATATCAGGAAGGTCACACGAGGATGAGGAAGAGGAATGCCTGCCAGTTGTTTGCACCTTTACTCTACAGTTTGTGGATGTAGGACTTGGAAAACACACAATCTCTTGTCCTGTGGAAAAGCAGAATCTTGATGCACAGACACACACTCATCCACTCACACACAACGCTTCATCTGCAGTGCTTCATTTACTCTTGATTTATGTGGATCTGTGAAGACGAGCGAGGATGGGCCCTTTCAGTTTGAGGTTTTGGATTCAGCCGCTGTCACCTGTCTCCTCCACCCCCCAACTGTGCAGAATGGAACAGAAAATGATAATCATAATGTATTAAAATGCTGGATATTTTTTGTCTTAATGGACAGCGTTTTAGTAATTGTTCAGAAATGTTTCACCTGAACAGCTGTACAAAGTACAAATACATTATTCTAAAAACCGTACAAACCATTCTTAAAAGCAGTTTCAAGGATGACACGGACTTATTTTCTGTCCAGCATTTTACTGCAAGATGGGATCTTTACTAAATGATGAGTTCTTGATGCATTTTTTATCACAGTATGTGTAGGCCAGTTATGTAATGACACAATGAACTGCTACAGCAGGCAGACTCCTGCAACGAATGCTTTACCAGTCACCACATGATGAATCAGACATTGACAGAGTGACACTGAGATGGAAGTGGCTGCTGGTGATGTTATGTCATATGTCTAGTGTCATATGCCGAGGATTAGTGGCATGCCACTTGTATTCCACCACAGCCCACTAGCATATACCGAATCTTTCACTTTTTAGATACCATGTAAAATCGGTTATGCCATAACATTATACTGGAAGATAACCACTCCTTGCAGGCAACTGTCAGGCACTGATGTGATCAAGCTATACATTTCTGGCAGCTAACCCAGTGAGGCTATCTGTAGCTATTAGCCCTGTACTGCTAGCATCGTGAGTCTAGCCTTGGACGAAGTTGGATCAATAACTCTGCTTATATGCTACAGATGCTGCATTGATAGAAAAATAGGAACACCTCTTGTTATTATGACTTGGCAGTACTCAGGCATTATTCCAAGGTGGCAGCCAGCTGTTATTTACTGAGAAATCCTTCCAGCACGAAATTCCACCTAAAACCATAAATTGTTGTTTTTAAATTTTCGAGTGTGTTCGGATTAACACACAGCATGTTAGTTAGCTTTAGGTGGCTTTTGAAACTTTGGACAGAGCTAGACTTGCTGTTTTCTCTGTGTCAAGTTGTTATGCTAAGCTAGGCTAACTACGCCCTGACTCGAGCTCTGTTGTTAACACTCAGACATGAAATATCCCAACATACAGACATTTTCCTGTAACTCTTTGCAAAAACAGTGAATAAGTGTATTTCCTAGAACTGAACTATTCCACACACATTTTACTGTAGCAGCTGGGAGAAAAATGGCACCACTGGCTGTATTTTTAAGGATAAACATTATTTATTTATGAAAACATTCTGAGGACTCAACTTAATCAGGACATAACGTAAATGATAAATATTTAACTAAATTACCATTGATTAACTTATTTGATGTTGCACTTTGTTAGACTTCTTTTCATAAGTAAAATATTTTTAATTTTGTCCACCTAATTTTTTCATACACACTCCCTGTTATTGTGTGTGTTACAGTGAGCATACTGTCACTTCTGCTTGAGGATGGATTACAGTATGAAAATCAAGACCACATGAACTACACACACATACATGCCGTGCTAGTGTGGTCAATGTGACTGAGAAAGAGGGAAAGATCTACACTGAACAAAATTATAAACTCAACACTTGTTTTTGCCCCCATTCATCATGAGCTGAACTCAAAGATCTAAGACTTTCTCTATGGACACAAAAGGCCTATTTCTCTCAAATATTGTTCACAAATCTGTCAAAATCTGTGTTAGTGAGCACTTCTCCTTGGCCGAGATAATCCATCCACCTCACAGGTGTGGCATATCAAGATGCTAATCAGAAAGCACAGGTGTGCCTTAGGCTGGCCACAATAAAAGGCCTCTGGAAAATGTGCAGTTCCATCACACAGCACAAGCCATAGATGTCGCAAGTTTTGAGAGAGCGTGCAATTGCCATGCTGACTGCAGGAATGTCCACCAGAGCTGTTGCCTGTGCATTGAATGTTCATTTCTCTACCATAAGCCATCTCCAAATTTGACAGTACATCCAACCTGCCTCACAACTGCAGACCACGTGTAACCACACCAGCCCAGGACCTCCACGTCCAACATCTTCACCTCCAAGATTGTCTGAGATCAGCCACCCGGACAGCTGCTGCAACAATCGGTTTGTATAACCAAAGAATTTCTGCACAAACTGTCAGGAACCGTCTCAGGGAAGCTCATCTGCATGCTCACCGTCCTCATCGGGGTCTCAACCTGACTGTAGTTCGTCGTCGTAACCGACTTGAGTGGGCAAATGCTCACGTTCGATGGCATCTGGCACTTTGGAGAGGTGTTCTCTTCACGGATGAAATCCCGGTTTTCACTGTACAGGGCAGATGGCAGACAGCGTGTATGGCGTCGTGTGGGTGAGCGGTTTGCGATGTCAACATTGTGGATCGAGAGGCCCATGGTGGCGGTGGGGTTATGGTATGGGCAGGCGTGTTATGGACAACGTGTTATGCTCACTAACAGATTTTGACAGATTTGTGAACAATATTTAAGTCTTCGGGTTCAGCTTTGATGAATGGGGGCAAAAACAAGTGTTGCGTTTATAATTTTGTTCAGTGCAGTTGTCTCAGTCTGTCTGCTGAATGTAAAATAGCTACATTCTCTCATCCTTCCTGTAGTAGAGAAGGACACTATATACCTGTGCTGAATTTAGAGTTAACAGCTGGGGCTTGACAGATATGGAAGTTCAAAGTCGTCATCTGCAAGTTCTTGCTAACATCTTATGTCTACCCTCATCCAGGACTAATGTGCACACCACTGTCTCTTGGAACTTGAACTTTCATATCACAGATCGTAAAACGTGTTTTGGGAAGAATGTAGAAAATACAAACTCATCGGATGGTAGGAAATCTTTAAAGCTGTAAACACCAGTGACCGAGGGAGGTGAAGTAACAGGGGAAAAAAACGAGGATTTATGCTGAAGGCCAATTTCTTTTTTTTATTTTATTCAAACCAAGTACAATCAAAGATGGCGCTGCACTTAAGCGTATTATAAGCCTATTTACCAAAAATTTACTTTTTCCTTTATTCATTGGGATTGCTGCAGTATACCTTTCAGCCACCAGTGGCAGCACTGAGCACTCTGCTGCACTCCAGTCAGTAGGTGTGTTTGACTTCATGCGGCGCTGTTCAGTAGTGATGGTAAAAGTCAGTCTTTTGAAAGACTCGAGTCACCAAATCTCGTTCATTAAAATGAACTAATCTTTTTTTGTGTCATTTCGTTCATTTTAACTTGGCTGGTTATTGTAGCGCTGCAGCCCTCTAGTGGGCGATTTAAAAACAAAACAGTTCTCAAATACAGAAAGCTGCCTGGCTTGCTCTAATTGACAAAGTATAATGCACAAATTCACCTCTTTCTCTATCAAGGTTCTATTCCCCATGGAGCCACAACCAAATTCAAACCAAGTAAAGACCACAGAAATGTTGTCAATATTTGATTAAGCCACTACTCTGGCTAAATCCGTCCATTTTCACAATCTTTCCTGAGTATACTACCAGACTATATATGTATATAAATAAATAGAAAGTGCTCATTCACACAGTAGCCTGACGGCTATCCATGAGTAAAATCTATATATTAACATCAGAAGTAATAAGCTTGACATACTAGATGAATAAAACACACATTTAATAATAATCTCAAACACTGCAGGTTGTCCACCAGTGAGGAGCTGTGAAACAACAGCACAGCTCTGTCGATAAATAAAAAGTAAAAGTTAAGTTCTCTGGCGGACCGGATCAGCTGTTAGCTGTAAACACATCACAGGGCTAACGCTAACGTTGCTATGTGGCTGTATTTTAATGTTTTAATGAGCCAGTCCATTTGTTTTGGAGAGGAGACGACCTCTGTGGTAATTCAGCTCCCGGTAGAACTCTGTCAGGGCTCTGAAGTGGACCCAGAATAACTCTCATCAGCTGTTGGCTGTAAACACTGTAATAATGTTATTCTTTATTAAATATCACAAAATAATCAAAATAGATATTAGATATATGTCAGTCCAGTGACTGTTACCTGACAACAGACTTGCCTCTCATTCCCCGGTGCTGGCAGTAAGTCAGCCTGCCGAGTGAAGACAGACTCCGAGGAGGACCCATGTGAGCGCTGAACGATTAGTTCATTCCTGCTCCACAGAAGGCGAGATGTCACGTGACAAATGAACGACTCAAACCCAGAGACCCACAGTTATGAGTCCTTAACTAATCAATTCTGTTTCCTGTGCTGACAGAGACCTTTCAGCTGCTGTGTAACAAGTGAACTTAAGAGTCCAAGACTATTCACGCATGCGTGAAAATGAACGAATTACTCACTGAGACAACCCGTTCCTCCTGAGTCACATACAAGATTAGGTCAAATGAACGAAACGTTCTTTGAACGACACAACACTACTGCTCAGCGCTGCCTTAACGTGATGCATGCTGGATTTAAAAATAAGGCATGCTGGTTAGAAAATGTGTCCGACTTTCGCCGGCGCTGCAAAACGTCACCATAACATCACATTGAAACCTTGAGGGTGCAAGGCGGCTGCAGGTGCCGAGTCCGGCGGCTGCAGTTGCTTTTCTCCAGGTGCACCAAGTTGGAACCACACTATTGCCTGATGTCTATGAAGATTCTCAGTCATCCAGGTCATAGTTATCCAACGAAGGTTAAAATCGAGGGCAACTGGACTTGGTTGAAGATACTGGAAGACGTTTCGTCCCTCATCCAAAGGACTTCTTCAGTTCTGACTGACTGGCAGGGAAACTCAGCTATTTAACCTCAGTGGGGTCGTTATCCCGGGTCATCAATACCGCTGGTTCGTTAGTGTTCCTTGTTGCTGTGACGACAGTCGTTACAGTCGTTAAGACTACCTGTGGCCAAGACTGAACGACCATCGTTGGTATCTTCACCTGAGGCCAATAGGTTACGTTTGTTGAGTTTCCTGGGAAGTGATGAAATGACAGCATTGTAAGTGGGGGATAAGTGGTGGCGTAGACCCCCTCCCCTGTTCAATGACGGCTTCTCAACCCTGGTGTAGATGGCTTCCTTGACACCTCTTTCAAACCATCCATCTTCTTTGTCTAAAATGTGCACCTGGTGGTCCTCAAACGAGTGTCCTCTGTCCTTCAGATGTAAGTAGACTGCAGAGTCTTGACCTGAGGAGTTGGCCCTTCTCTGTTGAGCCATGCGTTTGTGTAGTGGTTGTTTAGTCTCCCCAATATAGAGGTCTGTGCATTCCTCACTGCATTGGACCGCATACACTAGATTGCTTTTCTTGTGTTTGGGTGTGCGGTCTTTGGGGTGTACCAGTATCTGTCTTAGTGTGTTCTTGGGTTTAAAAAACACAAGGATGTTATGTTTGTTGAAAATCCTCCTGAGTTTCTCTGATACTCCAGACACGTATGGAATCACAATGTTGTTGCGTTTGACCTTCTTTTCCTCCTCCCCTGTAGTTTTGTTCTTCTTGGATCTTGTGGCTGTCTTCACAAAGGTCCATTTAGGGTATCCACAGGCTGTAAGTGCCCCCTTCAGGTGGTTCTGTTCCTTCTCTCTGGCTTGGGCGCTTGTTGGTATGTTTTCCACTCTGTGGTGCAGTGTTCTCATGACCCCTAGCTTGTGCTCCAGTGGGTGCTGTGAATCGAAGAGTAGGTATTGGTCTGTGTGTGTGGGTTTTCTGTAAACACCAATCTGCAGGCTCCTGTCCTCTTCAATGTGTACAGCGCAGTCCAGGATCCACAGTCCACACTATTGCCTGGTCTTGCGGCATTTTTATTTGCATATGCTGCGAGATCAGTCATTGATCTCAGCTCACAGTAAGCTCACGTAGGTAGAATGTGTCCGTCTTGACGGCGCTGTTTTTATACCCTACCCCTGCAGTCGCCTGCAGCTCACATTCATACAGTATATTACTGGACAAAGCCATCCCTCTGATTTGAATGGAGAGGTGTGAAGCCAGTTTTGGACCAATAAAATACTAACACAGGGCTACTTCCTGTTGGCACCAGCGTCTACTGCGCATGATCGCGCAGCATAACCGTGGTTTAATGACGAAGAACAACTGCAGAAACACCGTAATTCTGGTAGCTGTATAAATGCGCCAACAAAAAGTTTCATGGCTCTGTGTGTTTGTCTGACTCAACCTGACCTACAAGGTTCACCTGTCAAACACCAAAGCAGCGTCTCTGATTACTCTGATATTTGTTTGTTTTTTTTGATTGCCGAGAGTTTATAATCTAAGCAATACGGTTACATCTCTCATGTGCGACGGGGTGTCATGGGGTTTTCATTTTTGGGCCTACATGGATCCCTCCTTGCAGGGTTTGGTCTGCTTCACTGTCTGATCCCTGGCTTACCCCCTTGTTCACATTAGACTAGGCAGTTGTGCACCATCTTTGATTTTACATGATAGTATCAACTTCAGTGGAAGA